AGGCTGAGCTTTGATGACTTTCTGACTGGTGGAGGCTGGTGAGTTTGGACAGACCGAGGTTGAGGGAAATATACACGTGTCTAGATGTTGTGGTCACCGCAATGATGTAGATAGTAGGTGAGGTTAAAGATAGATGGAGGGTGAGGGATGCTTCTTGTTGGTATCTCTGTGACAAGATCTCTCACTGCCTGTTCAGGAAGGAATCATTTTCTTAAGTTTTATAATGTGTTAAAAACCTAAGGGAGAGTGAGAACCCACCTCTTTATTTCTTCATATGTTCCTTACATGGATTTACTCCAAAACAAGTGATAAATGGGGCAATTGAATGTGTGCAAATCCAAATAGGTATTTACCAACCCTGAAGGATAAGTAAGGCCCTTAAGAACAATATGGAGACATTCTTTAGTATTTGATAAATAGCAATAGTTGCTAAAATTAGATTTTCTAATTCTCAGACTCTTTCCCCCCATATATTATTACTCATCTTTTTTCTTTTAAACTAATTTCTGTTTCCTATTAACTCTTTCCTCGCTTTGTGATATCAGATGCTGCTAAGGGAACCTATTGTCTCTTGCTGAAACCAAATACTCCTGCATCTCTCATTGAGTGTCAATCAGAAAATTTTATTTTTTAAAATTTTATGAGATAACTGGGGGATTCCTAGAAAAACTGCAAAGTTAATTCCAAGCACTTATTCTTTCTGCTATTTTGCCATTCAGTAACATGACTTTTTCACCCCATACATGGGGCATTTTTATCTTTCCACCAAAATCTTTGTTGGCAGGAGAATTTGGTTTGAGTTTGTCTGAGTTGCCTGGAGTGGACGTCTGTTGTTTGCTTGTCCAGCACCCTTCTTCTATTCTTTCACACACACTCATTTTTTTTTAGAGAATGATTTGACCCCCACTTCCATCATTATAGGGGTGGGGCCAGAAGTGGACAAGAGAATTGGCATTTTTGAGGACAGATATGAATACTGTTTCTTTTCTTTTTTTCTTTTGTGAGTATAGCAGAAGGGATTTTGTGGACATTTAGTTGCTGGGGGTTATCTTGTTGCTGTGTAAAGATTAAGAATAAGAAGGAAACAGAACAAAGAGAAAGAGAGAGAGAGAGAGAGAGAGAGAGAGAGAGAGAGAGAGAGAGAGAGAAAGCTGTTGATTTTTAGGAGGAGAAATTGTACTTAAAAGAAATTCCTAGGACTACTAACTGTGCTACTAGGTAGTGGACCTTAAAGCCTTATTATAACTTGCAGGCTTTGGGGGATTAACTTTGTTTCAGGAGAACTTGGCTAAAGAATAGTTCTGGAAGCCCCAATTAAGTGATCATATTGATTGAAGAGAACAACTTCTCTCCCTATCTATCTATAAGATAGAGGACTATGCAAATTAGCTGGGACACTGTAATGCACAACCAAACAGCAGGGACCTGAGGTTACATGGCACCTGGCTGGGGCAAGGGACCTCAGGCTGCACCTCCTGCTCTGCAGGGATTGACAGAGGAACTCAGGCCATGCCCTCTGCCCTGGTGTCAGTTCAGGAGACCTCATGCATTGCCCCTGCCCCAGTACCAGGCCGTGGGACTTCAGGCTGTGCCCCCTGCTTGGCTAAGCTTGATGGGGGCCCTCAGACTGTGCCCTCGACCTGGCAGGGCTTGACGGGGACCTCAGGTCATGCCCATCCCCACCTCACTGCCAGGCTGGGGGACCTCAGGCCACACCCTCCACCTGGTGGGCCTTGACAGATGACTTGAGACTATGCCCCCCTCCTGGTGCTGGGCCAGGGGACCTGAGGCTGTGCTCCCCACTGGAGGGGCTTGACTGGAGTGGTGCTGGCCCGGTCTGGTTCTAACCCAATTGGGGTGAGGCTGGCCTAGTCTAGGTCCCCTGCATTTTTGAAACATGTGTGTGGTGGTGGGCAGGGACTTGACTCTAGGTCCCATGGCATGCCCCAGACTCTGACAGGAGGGAGATCTTCATAAACATTTTACTAATTTTCTTTCATCTCCGACACTTGTATTATAGAGAAAAGGCAAATAGCAATATTAAAATATTTCCTCTAATTATTTCCCTTTTAATGTGCATGAATTTTTTGCACTGGGCCACTGAAATAAATGACTGGAATCCACAAATTTACATTTCCTTTCAATTCCTTGGCATTGCGCTGGAAAATAGTACTTTAGTGGAGATGAATCCAAGACACACTGTAGCAACACTTCGTTAGAAACAAAATCTACTTAGCAGACAATTTAGTCTGATTTTCATGGAGTTGAATAAGAATAGAATGTAGAATTTCAAATAGTCATACCTTTCAGAGGACAAGTTATACTTGAGAGGTGGTGCAGGATTAAAATCCACATGGGCATCATGTGGATTTAGTGTTAAAGGGGACTTAGTGGTCAGCTGGCCTGACATTCTAATTTGACAGTCAAGATGTCAAGAGACTAATTTGAAAGTCTAAGGTCACCTAATCACCACATCTTGAATGAAATCTTTTGAGTTTCATCCCAGTATTCCTTCTTTTCCACCCATAGAATCTTTCAGTGTTATCTAAAAGCACCTAAAGCCATGGAAATGATTATCACAATGGAGGAGTTAAAGGCTGGATATTTTCTCAACTCTCCACCTTCTTAGTATCTGTGTAACCTTGGGGAAGTTACTTAACATCTCTGAGACTCAACATTCTTATGTGTAAGATGGGATAATAGTGATCCTCCAATAAGGTTGTTAATTAATAAGACACTTTTTAACAATTGCAAAGCATTTAAGACATTGCTATTAGTCCCAGTTCTTCCTCCTTTAATAATGAGCAGTCAATGCTATATACATTCAAATGTTGTGTTATTAGAATTCAAGAAGGCACTGGTTAACTTCTTTTTGGTGTCATTATTTTGAGATTTCTACATTCTTATCACAGCTGGGAATTTTTAATTTAAAATACAAAGGAAAATAGAAATAACTCATCTAAAAGTTTAGTTGCACATTTTTTATATCTTGATCACTGAAAGGAGGCTCAAGGAACATTAAAGATGTCTCCATAGTCACAAATATTTCTCTTTTGTCTTCATAATTATTATTTTCTTTTAAAATATATTTTTATTTATATCAGAGAGGATGGGAGAGGAAGAGATAGAAGTATTAATGATGAGAGAGAATCATTGATTGGCTTCCTCCTGCATGCCTCCTACTGGGGACTGAGTGTACAACCTGGGCATATGCCCTGACTGAAAATTGAACCATGCCTTCCTGGTTCATAGGTTGATGCTCAACCACTGGGTTATGCCAGCTGGGCCAGAATTATGTTTTTAAGGTATAGTAGGAATTGAGTTTTCCATGGTATTTTTAAAATATTCATAATATTGCATGTGTATATGCTTGAGTGTTACAAAAGGAACTTTCTTTATAATTTCTTTAAATACCTTTGAACATAGTGAATCGTAGATTTTTGGGTTACCATGTCTTATCGTTTTGTCAGCTTAAAATGCAAGAGGTATTGATATCTTGCTGATGTGATGGATTTCCCCCCCTAAATTTTAATTACACATTTGAAGTCCTGATTATACCTTAGGGGTTTATTTGCTTATGAAAAGTCAAACTATGAATTACAATATTGCAGAATACTTTCACTTCATCAGATTAGTTTCACCATTTCACAGATACGATTTGTAAAATTTTGCAACACCTAGAAAACTACATTACAAAAAGGTATTTAAATATAGATGAGAAAGGTAGATGTTTGTCTTTGTCTTTTGATATTGATGTTAAATAAAAGATGGAATGTTTTTGTTTAAAACCAATCCCTTATCCCTCCCTCCACCCCCAACCACAATAAGTAAATGGATATGTGAACAAAGGCTTTCTTTAAATCTGTTATTCAGTTCAAGTGTGTGTTAGGAAAAAAGGTCTATTTTGTGTATAAAATCTAGCAACAAAAAAGGCAATTGTAAATAGAAAAATAAAACATGTAGAGGAGACAGATATTCTGCACACACAACTTTAAAATCCCAATAGGGGACACATGTTAGAGAGAAACTATACATTCACTAACTTAAACATAAATTCCCAAAGAGCAATATTCCAGTGTGTTCATTTGCCACCATAGATCTACCCATTGAAATAAGTCCACTAGTCTTGGCCAGCAAGTAGGACCTTAATTTTACCATCTAACAGTTCAATTGAAATAGAAGAGAGATTTTCACACAAATATCTTAGTAACATAGACTTTCCTGGATTGGAAAAGAGCATCTACTCCACATTCAGTCTGTTCACAGGTAATGAGACTCCTGTAAGTGTCACCCCCTCACACAGTAGCAAGGTCTTACATGGAAAAGGGCTCTGTTCATTTTTTATTTAAGTCACAGGAAATGGTTATAGAATTGGTGAATGAAACAGCTTTCTTTTTTTAGAAATTAGTTTGAAAATCTGAAGTTAGTAATAGAAACTAATAACAGGAAAATAGCTGGCTGGGTCTCCCTCCTTCTTTACAGTGATATGGTAGAAACACAGGAAAAATGCATTAACATCTTTTAGGAAATCTGGTCCCTTCACTTCTGTGGGGCTCAGTTCAGAATAAGAAAGGAAAAACAGCATTTTTTTGGCTGCAGCTCTAGTAAACAATGAATGATGAAAAATATTGCAGAAATGTCTTCAACACAGACCTTATCACATTGATATTGTCAACATTCCTCTGCAAACCTTGGCAAATGAATAACTGAGCCCTATTTTGGTGGAATGAGAGAAGGAAGCACTAGTTCCAGCATAGAAACAAGATTATGAAAACAACCAACCTACCAACCAACCAACCAACACAAAACAGTATTTTTTCTCCTGAATAATAAAGACGTCATGTTTGCATATAGAACAGCTTTTGCATTATTGCTCTATGTATAAGAATATATTAAGGAACTCATAATAGACTGCACATTACAAACTTAAGGTTCTTTGGTGAAGAATGAAAGAAAACAGTATTTGAGCTTTAAAGAAAACGATTTCGTCCATTTTGCCTCTATCTATTGATCCGCTGGATCCTGTCACAGAGCAGGGAGAGGTACTGTGTGAGCTTCACCATGGCAACGATCACCACGCCCCCAGCCATCATACACGTTGGCCAGAAGAGTGAGTGGAACAGCACATTGGAACTGTAGAGTTTGGTTAGGATGACGCTCTTCTGGTTTCCTTCTGGGTCAGAATAGCAGGAAAAGTGTTGGTACTTCCTGAAGTTTTCCATGACAACACTCACCAGGGACATGGATTCTTCAAAATTTTTTCCACACTTAGGTATATAGGAGCACTGTGGAAAATGAGATAAATTGTTACCAGAAGATACAGTGTGCAGCGTGTGTGTGTGTGTGTGTGTGTGTGTGTGTGTGTTCATGTGTCCATCTGTGTCTAGTATAGGTGGATACTGAGGCCAACTTAATGATCTGTGGAATAACCATGATGGTTACTCTTTTCATATTCAAACCAGTGCCTCCAGAAACCCTAAGAATGCACACGTTAATTAAAACAATGTTTTCAAGGATCTTGCCAAGATGTACTTTTTAAAAAATATATATTTTATTGATTTTTAACAGAGAGAGAAAAGGAGAAAGAGAGCTAGAAAGATGAGAGAGAAACATCGACCAGCTGCCTCCTGCACACCCCCTACCGGGGATGTGCCCGCAACCAAGGTACATGCCCTTGACCGGAATCGAACCCGGGACCCTTCAGTCCGCAGACCGACGCTCTACCACTGAGCCAAACCGGCTTCAGCAAGATGTACTTTGATAGCTCACCCATATAAGTTTAAATATTGATTAAACTGGATGACATCAATGGATTCTTTTTGCCATAGCTAAGCATAGTGGGTATTAATTATTCCCTATGAACACACTTTTCCATGTGATCAGAATGTCAACCTTTCTGTCTTTTCTCTGTCCATAGCTGTTCATGTAACATCAAAAGCTATCAGTTTTCTTAGGGAAAGTAGTAGTTTTTCTTATCTTTTTGCCTAAATTAAGGCGAGCCACCTTGTTCATCTTATTACGATAGTTAAAAAACAAACACCCAACAGTTATACCCCTAGTGAATTGCTGACAAAGAATATCAGAAATTGTAGGAATATTGAATAAAGAGCTCTGATGAATGTTTTATGCCCAGTTAGTATAATAAAGTATTTTTTTTTTACCATAAACCTAGACAAATTAAAACAGTACCAAATCAGTTTTATATTCAACCAGCACCCACCTGAGAACTTTCAGTATCTTTCCTTTGAACTGTCCCTTTCTCTCTTTTTATTTTATCTCTTGTACTATATATTTTTCCTTTCTTCCTTTTTATGCACTTATATGATTGATTTAATTCTTTCTTTGCATCTCTTTTCATTCCATGCCTACCACTTCCCTTACCTTGCTTTAATTTTCCTCTCCAGTTTCTCTTCTTGTCCTCCTTTCTCTCTTTCCTCTCTCTATTCTCTGAATATAGATGACATTAATAAACTTTGTAGTTTTTTTTTGAAATTATAACTTATTGGATATGTTTTTGAACACACTTTCCTAATTATAAAGCAGTCTCTGAAGAGATGAAATCTCTGTGACCCTCTTTCCTGAATTGGTAAATGGGCAGTGACAAAACTCGGAACAATGAATCTAAATTAAAAAAAAAATATTTTATTGATTTTTCACAGAGAGGAAGGGAGAGGGATAGAGAGCCAGAAACATTGATGAGAGAGAGACATCGATCAGCCACCTCCTGCACACCCCCTACTGGGGATGTGCCCGCACCCAAGGTACCTGCCCTTTACCGAAATCGAACCTGGGACCTGTCAGTCTGCAGGCCGACGCTCTATCCACTGAGCCAAACCGGTTTTGGCTGAATCTAACTTTTTAAAAAGCTAGGAAAAAAGTGATTTAAGTGTGAATCCGTGGTTAACTCTTTACCCTCCCTACGGTAACGTGTATCCCAATAAGAAAAATCCCTGTCTCTTGTTATATTCATTATCAAATAATTAATGTAACTGATTTATCTGAATTAAATTGACAAGGTCGCTGGTAATCCAGTGTTTTAGATTGATTTAGCAAACTATGACCACTCTTCAAAATTGTTATTTTTCTGTTGAAAAACTGTCATAATACTTATTTCATGAAAGGACAACAGCAAAAAAATCACCTCACCCATCTTTTCTTTACCAGCTTATTAGTTGTTATAAATAACCACATCTATGACTTTTGCAATGTGACTGACACTCCTGGGGTTGTGCAGTGCACAACTCATGTGACTCTGAGACATCCGGATGAGGCGGGCTGTTGAAGAATGCCCAGGTACACCCAGGGGAGCTTCCGGTAGGACCCTGGAACTGCACCCTTTAGACCTATAAATTTTACAGGAAACAACTATAAAACACATAGAGTGCCTTTTGCCAGTGGATTATGTTTGGCTCACTCTTTCCTTGGATGTTATTAGTGGCTACAGGGGCATCTTGGTTTGTTAGCCATGCTGTGCTATAATCATTGGATTATTTGACAGCAGGAAGATTCTTCAATTAGTTAAGAATGGAGGATGAACATACTGGCTTTTATCCGTAAACCAGGCTTAAAGTAATGTTTTCATAACAAGAGCTGGTTGGCAGCTTCAAGTCTAATCAGCTAAGAATAAATGTGAGCACAGCAGAGGCTGGTACTAGCACAACATTAAAGGTCTGAAAGTATCTCCAGGAAAGCACAATTTCTCAGTGAGTTATAATTTAGTACGAAAATTTGCCTATAACTACCATGAAGCAAATTTTCTACCAGTAGGATGCTTTCTGGATCAAAAAGATTTAAGGCAATAAATAGATACTTTTTCCCCCCCTTCTTTAATGCAGCCATCATGCCTTTAAAAAATTTAAAAATGTTTTTGGAAGCAAAATATTAAAAAGAAAAATCACAGACAAGCCATTTGTGGCTGAATTCAAAGAGAGTGGATTTCGATTCCGAATGCATCTGGCTTCTGTATATTTTTGTGCCAAGACCGTTTATGGTAGATTCAGTGGCTAAGAGTACTAAGTTATTGAAAGGATCTCAATAAAAATGGCATCCCATTAAAAATGGAGGTTTTCTTATGCTCTCATGAATTGATGTGGCTTTAAAACATTTTTAAAGAAGCGTTTGTCAGCCAAATGACAATAATTCTGGCACTAGATAAGATTCTTCCAAATAAAATGGGATATAAATTACTTTTGAGACCATCTAGCAAGGTCATAATTTTGCAGTGGTTCTCAACCTTCCTAGTGCCATGACCCTTTAATACAGTTCCTCATGTTATGGTGACCCACAACCATAAAATTATTTTTGTTGCTACTTCATAACTGTAATTTTGCTACTGTTAAGAATCATAATGTAATTATCTGTGTTTAGCGATGGTCTTATGTAAATATCTGTTTTCCCAGGCTGCTTATTGTAGTTTCAACCATTAAGTCTCAAATGTACACATTTGGAGTGGCCAGACGGGGCATATTCCATACCTGATTAGATTTGGGTCCTGAGGCCAGTGGTTTATACAAGTGCAAATCCACATTGCTGGTGGAGCAATGATTTCTTTGCCTGGGTGTTTTTAACTTTTCTTAACTTGTCACCTGCCACCTTATAACGCACATAAACCAGCTCCCACTAAGTCTGTTACTGATCCCTGAAAACTCTACCCCAATCATTCCTTCACTTTCTTATTGGTCAGATCTCTGTTGTGAAAATGAACATATCATGTGGTCTGACGAGCCCTTCCCTGAATGTGTTCAAGAGATCTGGGTACCGCTTTTTTTATAAGCGAGCTACTTGGCTCCTCAGAATCAACTTCTTTATCTAATGAGGTTAACAGAGCCTTCCTGGAAGGGTTTGTGTGAAGATTAAATGACGAATATTAAAAGCCTCATTGAATTTTCCCTAATGTATTTTCTTATTGGAAAATCACACTCTCTACATGATCTCAAGTCTCTAACCAAGTGCACATATTAAATGATGGAAACTCTGAGGGAAAAACTCATAGTTATATGGTTTTATAGGAGTAGTCCTGTTGGATGGCTCTTGTCTCATATCCCTTGTTTTTGTGTCCGAGAAGATTTGAGATTATGCTGAATCATATATAGTATTCGAATTCTAGGTTTCTGTTTCTGTGGCTCAAATTATAGCCATGTGAATGTTTCTGAGGCTGATATGAAATTGTGTGTGATGTAAGATCATTTAGTGATCTTATGAGATTTCATCATATATTTCAAGGATAATTTGATGTGCTTGGTTAGATTACATAGAGTGAGTTTTTTAACAAATGGAAACTGTACAGAGTGATCTATACTTAGCTGGAAAAATGTAATGTGGACTGAAAAATAAAAATCTTGGCATTTTTATTGTATTAAATACATATTTATTGATTTTAGAAAGGAAGGGCGAGGGAGACATAGAAACATCAATGACAAGAGAAAATCATTGGCACAACTCCTACTGGGGATAGAACCCGAAACCCTGACATGTGCCCTTGAATTTTGTTAATAAACCTTTCTGCTTTCCCAAATCCCTTAAATTCTCTTTAGTATTGAAAACCATAGAGATGGCCCCATAACATGACCTTTCCTCTCCCAGATGAGGACACCTGGCTCCTGTCACCTATCCCTGACTGTTCTTTCCCGACATGGCAACAAAGGTCAAGCAATTGCATCTTCTCCCCAGTTCTTCAGAAAGTCACTGAACATTTTTTTCTTGGGCTCATTTCTAGAATCTTTTACATCAGTAGAGTTATTTTTAGTTTCATGATAGAAGTTTAGAGAAACTACCTCTTGAGCTTTGCTTAGACATTCTTTGTAGGCCTGTGTGAAGCCCAAAGTGACAGGCCTTCACCTGCAAACCAAGGATGTGGGGAGGAGTGGGGGCCACACGGAGGGGGTGTTTGGCTGAATAACTTCACCTGTCAGCCTCCTTTTCCATCTGATGGTAGGAAGGGATTCCTAGGATCCTCTTAGGGGAAGGGCTTGTTCTTTTATAAAAAGAAGGGTGTTTTATTTCAGAAGGGTTAGATGTTAATTAAATCCAATCACTCTTGTCTCCAGTGTGCCAGGGGGTGTGCTAGGCATAGGCATAAAAAACATAAACATGCCCTGGCCGGTGGCTCAGTTGGTTGAGCATTGTCCTGCATGTCAGAAAGGTTGTGGATTTGATTCCAGGTCAGGACACATACCTAGGTTTTGTGTTGGATCCCTAGTCTGGGCACTTATGATAGGCAACTGATTGATGTTTCTCTCTCACCTCTCTCTCTCTCTCTCTCTCTCTCTCTCTCTCTCTCTCTCTC